GCATTTTTTAGTTACGCCATCGCTTTAGCAGGTCCGTTCTACAGGAGACCTTTTTAGAAGAAGCGGGAAGAAACTCATTTACGGTTAAAATGTTAATTTTTAAAATATAATATATGCACTTGTCAAAATGAATCTTCTAAGGAAGCTAACAACTCATTTGTATATTCAAAAAAAATCAAGTTACATGCATTTGAAACCACTGCACCTTGAAAGTCACATTGCATTATGAATCAGCAGCGTACGTCAAAAAATCGACAAGTCATACTTTCAAATGTCGAGTCCCTTGTAAGTATTGTTTGTATTATCTCTTACAAGTCGTAGTGATGCCATAGTTCAAAAAGCCGTCAAATGTTTCGCAACTTGACGGACGTTGATGTGGAGGAGAACGCAGCGGTTGGTCATTTAATTGCGGGTACTAATCACATTTGAATACCTTTATAAGTACAAGTTAATAGTCGAACCTGACGTCGAATGCTATGAAAAATCAAAATGGTAATAGATAAAGCAAAATATTTTAAAAAAATGATACTATATTTTTATATATATTATTCTCTGTGCGGGTGATAACTTCCCGTGGGTGTCCTGGCGTAAACAAGATGATGCCCATCTTGTTTACGCCAGGCGTAAAATAATCTGACCGGTGATAGACGGCGCTAAAGGCGCGAGATATCTAGTACACTGCGATCATTTTTCTGCCTATCAAAGTGACGAATAATTAGATTCCCCCATCAACAGGGGAGGCTCACATCCAACAGTAGACTTTTATGGAATGCATAGCAAATATTCTATCTTTTCGTAAATATCAATCGGACGTAGATACACAAAAATCAAAAAACACTCAAAGATATATATTTGAATAACAAAAAGCTTTAATTCTTTCCGTTTTATTTACATCGATAGATACTTTAGTTTGATCAGTTTCGACTATAAGAAATTACTTGTTTTGTGTCCGCAGCTCCGAGCACGTGGTACCGAAAACACGGTCACGTTTGTTTTTTCGTACCTTAATTATTTATCCCATGAGCCGTGTAGTGGCGGTTGAGAATATCCACAACCCCATAACATCTCGTAAGTGTCGTAAGAGGCGACAGAGAGATACAGGCGGGAGATGGACAGCAGCATCTTCCTAATAACAACAATAACATAATAAAAAGCTGCGGTTGCCAACCCGCTCGCCAAGCGTGGCAACTATGGCAAATATCACCCCATGAGCAACAACGCAAATAAACGGCCCCCAGTCCCCGGCGGCCCCGCTATTCCTGGATACGGTGGCGACCATGGTAACGGCAGGGCAGGGGGTGCTAAGAATCTCCGGTGGAGGTTCGGTTGCCACGTACGACGACTCGACCTGGCAACGTATAACGTACGCACTCTGAGGACTGACGAGAAGATACTGGAGCTGGAAGAAGAGGTAGACAAGTTGCGCTGGCGTATTATTGGATTATATGAGGTCCGAAGAGAGGGGGAGGACACGGTAATCCTCTAGTCCGGCAACTTGTTCTATCACCGGGAGGGCGACCATCTGTCCCAAGGAGGTGTCGGATTTATCGTCCACAAGTCTCTTGTCAACAACGTTGTAAAGATTGGGAGTGTGTCGACGAGGGTCGCGTACCTGATACTCAGAATCACCAAACGGTATTCGCTGAAGGTCATACAGGTCTACGCACCAACCTCGGCACTTCCCGATGAGGAGGTGGAGGAAATGTATGAGGATATTTCTAGAGCCATGAATTCCTCCAAACCCCACTACACGGTGTTGATAGGAGACTTCAACGCAAAACTAGGCACAAGAGAAGGCGGTGAGCTTAAGTTAGGGAAATTTGGAGTAGGGCAACGGAACTGTAGGGGCCAGCAGCTGGCTGACTTTATGGAGAAAGAGGGACTCTTTATGATGAACTCTTTCTTCCAGAAGCGGCCCCACAGGAAGTGGACCTGGTCGAGCCCCGACGGTTCGACAAAAAACGAGATTGACTTCATTATGACGAGACTGTTCAGTGATGTCTCAGTCGCAAGTGAAAACCGCACGAGAATGGTTAGAGGCACACTGAACCTAAACGTTAAGTTGGAGAGGTCTCGTCTAATGAAGTCAACGCTCCGTCCGCCTCGTGCTCTAATCCAGAATCCCGAGACTTTTCAGCTCGAGTTACGTAACCGCTTTCAGTGCCTAGAAGATTGCAATGCAGTGGACGATTTGAATGACAAGCTCGTGGAAACTGTCCATGCGGTCGGAGCTAAGTTCTGCAAGACCCGCCGCAGAAGAACACAAAAACTCTCCGATCACACTCTTAATGTCATGGCTGTTAGACGGAAGATGAGGCTGCAATCGTCAACAGATTTGACAGCATACAGGCAACTGAACAGACAGATCTCCAAATGCGTGCGACGAGACTTACGCAACTTTAATACTGCTCGTATTAAAGAAGCGATCGAGCGGAACCAGGGCTCCAAAGTCTTTGCCAGAGATCTGTCTGCTAGAAAGAGCCAACTGTCAAAGCTGAAGACTGAGTGTGGCAGCATCGTTTCCGGGACATCTGAGATTTTGAGTGAGATTGAGAGGTTCTATGGGCAGCTGTACACATCATCGTTGGAAGCCACACGCAAGTGTGAGTAACGATCCAAGAGTAAGTCTTACCCGACACTATTCCGATGATATCCCGGACGTCAGTCTGAGCGAGATTAGAATGTCTCTAGCACCTTCAAAACGGCAGGGCCCTAGGCGAGGATGGAATTACAGCGGAGCTTCTGAAAGCGGGTGGAACACCGGTACTTGAAGTCCTTCAGAAGCTCTTCAATTCCGTCCTCCATGGTGGCACTACTCCGGAAGCGTGGAGCAGAAGTGCGGTGGTCTTGTTCTTTAAAAAAAGGCGACAACGCTCTCTTGAAGAACTACAGACCGATTTCCCTTCTGAGCCGCGTCTACGTGCTGTTTTCGAGAGTCATTACGAATCGTCTCGCACGCAGACTCGATGACCTCCAGCCTCCCGTACAAGCCGGTTTCCGATAAGGTTTCAGTACCATAGACCACATACATACCCTGCGGCAGATTGTACAGAAGACCGAAGAGTACAATCTGCCACTTTGCTTGGCGTATGTGGACTATGAGAAAGCCTTTGATTCCGTCGAAATTTGGGCGGTGCTACAGTCATATATAATATCGAAGTGCTGAAGTGTTTGTACAGTAGGGCTACGATGGCTATCCGAGTACAGAACCAGAGTTCGAAACCTATCCAACTGCAGAGATGTGTAAGACAGGGTGACGTTATATCCCCGAAACTCTTCACCGCTGCATTGGAAGACGTTTTCAAGCTACTGGACTGGAAAGGATACGGTATTAACATCAATGGCGAGTACATCACTCACCTTCGAATTGCCGACGATATAGTCCTTATGGCAGAATCGCTGGAGGACCTTAGCACTATGCTCAATGACCTCAATCGTGTCTCCCAACGGATAGGTCTTAAGATGAACATGGACAAAACAAAGATCATGTTTAATGTCCATGTCACACCTATGCCGGTAGTTGTTGGGAGCACTATGCTCGAAGTTGTTGACGAGTACGTTTACCTGGGACAAATAGTCCGACTAGGTAAGTCCAACTTCGACCGAGAGGTCAATCAACGGATTCAACTCGGCTGGGCAGCGTTCGGGAAATTACATCTTCTCGACACATCTAGACACATCTTCTCGCCAGGTATACCTCAATCTCTGAAAACTAAAGTGTACAACCAGTGCGTGTTGCCAGTGATGACTTACGGATCAGAGACGTGGTCCTTCACTGCTGGCCGTATGAGGACGCTCAAGGTCGCTCAGCGAGCTATGGAGAGGGCTATGCTCGGAGTTTCTCTGCGTGATAGACTCAGAAATAAGGATATCCGCAGTAAAACCAGAGTGACCGACATAGCCCAACGGATTAGTAAGCTGGAGTGGCAATGGGCCGGCCATATAGCTCGAAGAACCGATAACCGATGGGGAAGAAAGGTTCTCGAGTGGCAGCCTCGTACCGGTAGGCGTAGTGTAGGGCGACCCCCCCACTAGATGAAGTGACGACCTGGTAAGACATGCAGGAAGTCGATGGATGCAGGTGGCTCAGGACCATGCTTTGTGGCATTACTTGGGGGAGGCCTATGTTCAGCAGTGGACTTGTGAAGGGCTGTAATGATGATGATGATGATGATGTGTTAATCAAGGATAAGGCTTTAAGCCTTATAATATATGTTTGATAAAGTTTATCTGATGGGGCAACAAACATTTCACAAACTTTCACAATTATATTAGTGTGTCATAGACCCTAAAGATAATTTTGCATAATTTATGCAATATATACACTCAGTTTTGAAACGAGTTTTGATAAGTTTATGTTGAATTTGTATATAAAATTAGTTTCTTATAATGAGTCAGGAACTAATATGAATTGAGAAATAAAATATGAATTAACAATGTTATTCTAAAAAGTTTTCTGATCACTTTATTAAGTTATGGGAGCTTGTTATAATGAAAGGAAGCCTGTACTGGCTTTTACTTTTTTTGGATCCCAAACCGTTGATTAAATTAATCGTATCCAATAGTGGCAGCGGGTTGTTCCCTGTTTAGTCTTGTTGGTCATTAGAGGAGATTTTAGGAAAGTTCTGAACAACCTTATGGTCTCCAACAGATAGCGGTATATCATCTTGTATTATACGCCAAAGAATCAGTAAGCTGAACTGCTCACCAACTATAAGCTCAAAGAACAAGCAAGATGGGGAAGAAATGGTCTCGAGTGTCAGCCTCGTACCAGACGGCAAGGTGTAGGGCGGCCTGCGACTAAGTATAGTGACGACCAGGTAAGAGATACAGGAAGCCTTATACTGCTGTAATTATACATAAGATAACATATTCTTATTTTATTTTATTTATAACCATTATGGATAAACAAATTATATACAGGAAAAATTAAGTAAGTTATTTACTTTGAATACTTAATTCAAAGCAAATCAATTAACAAATCACTTCAAATAATAAAATTATAGGAAGAATCGTGCGTCGTGCGGCACGGGGCAAAAGGTGCGGCTGTGCGCGCGAAGGCCGCAAGGCCGCGCAGAGCGAGTGTCGCAACCGAGATGCTGGAAGCCATCGCCAACTGTCAGCAATGACCAGCCAATTTTCGTAACAGTTACGTGACTATTGCCTACAAATATGTCTTTGACTATTTCATTGAAAACTTTACTTTTTAACTATAGATGTAAGATTTTCTGATAGAACGTTCATTATACAAGAAATAACCGTTATAAAATTATTATTTTAAAAACTTAAAAATTTAGCGAGGTATTTTACTTACCTTAAGCTAATACGTAACTACAAAGGTGCTAAATGGAGAAGTAGTCCTAAGTGGTAAATCGCACTGCCTAAGCGTTATAAAAGCCTATTCAACCTTGCCTTAAAGACACACGTCCTAATTGAAAGGAATTGCAAACGCTGTTTAGTTATTTAACAATCCCAGCATCTGGTTGTTCCTTGGTGGAAAGAAATGCGCACACTGTTTAATTTTAATTAGACACAGAAATCTAAATAAAATGTAGACTACTGTGGTGGTTTATCGGCACCTAAGGTTGCGATTAAAAAAGATTAAATTTTCAGTGGTGGTGGCTAAAGTAAAACTCCATGGAACTTTGATTGGAACGCACAGTACCTGAGCTACATAGAGAATTAGTCTTTGCTGAGCCATGACAGCTCTTGACTTTTCTACCATGCACACTATCTAAAATACCTAATACACTGTAATATCTAATGCACACTAACAAAAAAGAAACTAATATTAACAACATTAAGTTATTTTTGCCAGTGTACATGTCTACATGTGTGATAGGGGTAAAGGAAAATGGAATTAATTTACGTCTAAATTCAGACGTCTATCATCTCAAAAAAAATATTATAAAATTCATTAGAAAGGATGAGAAAACTAAAATATCCCAGACAAAATGCGGTCTCTTAGTTTAGTGACAATTTTATTTTGTAAGTAAGAAAAGTATTTACGGTACGAATAAGATATTTAGCAGCGGTCTGAAATGAAATTATAAATTTAACTACAATGGTGATGATAACAATGGCGATATTATTGTAAGAAAATAACTCACCTCTTTAAGACCGTCAAGTCGTCCAAGGGACTTGGACTGTCGCAATGGCAAGAAAGCTTTGAGAGCATCAATGCGAGATGACTTCTCGGGCTCGGCATTAGCAGCAGTGGTGAGGTCTGCGCAAGAGAGTCTCGCCTTGCGTCGCTTGTCGAGGAGTTGTTTAGCTGTGCGTGAGCGTCGCTGTACTGGAGCGGCCTCTTCTTCTGGTTCACTGCAGACTTCCCGTGACGCGTGCACAGTATGCCTCCGCCGCGACACCGGCGGTGACGTCAACCGCGACACCAACGATTCAAACATCGCACTAGCCGCTTCGGTACTTAGACAGGCAACCAAGTTGGATCACATCCTCATTCAAATCCATTATCCGTCGTTCCGCGCACCCTGTACGATCCAACGCCTACAACAAACCAACAATTATACTACGTTGTTGTAAGATCGGATGGTGAGCCTCGTAATTTCAACCGTCCAGTCAGACCGTTGACACCGAAATTTCCATTGTCATTGAACTATATTTACCGTGAGCACACTTCATATGGTTTTGTTTGGTACTCATTCAAACGGCGTGCAAACCGTGACGAACGGCGCGTAATTCCGGCTAAGGCAAAACGCGTCCAAATGTAACGTAAAGTACAAAGCGATTGCCGAGCGAATTAATACGAAAACAGAGACGAATAGCAGACAAAACAAAAGTGAATGTGTCAAATTTTCTTTTTCACACGTTTGATATGGTATAGGTTCGTTAACCTAGTTACAGCTTTTTGTAATTAAGAGAGACAGAGCGGGCGGTCGTAGTCACACGGAGAGGCGCGGTCGCAGCGGTCGAAAGTGTGCCGCTGTCACCGTCGCATACCCAAAACATTGCCATGGCAGCTTGCCATGCGAGACGACAAAATATAAGGCAAGGCCGGTAACTAAAAGTATCAATAGGAACAAGAACTGGTTGACCCTGCAAGCCATCCCTGGATCTTCCCGCAATTTCAAATGCAAAGCGCTCCAAATTTCACTAAATTATGTTGCGAAACTTCGAAGTTGTGTTAAAAAAAAAACGTTTTTTTTTTCAATCTTTCTCCTTCGATATCTAACGAACGAATGAACCGATTTTTATTATCCAAACGGTATTCGACGTAATTTTTTGAGATCTCAAAACGTCGAGATCGGATGAAAACTCGATTTTCGAAAATCGGAGTGAAACCAATAACTTGCCTGTTTTGGAAAATTTTCAATTTTCTTGGGGGGAAGTTAAAATTCGTACCATGTACTGGAATGTGAACATTTTGCTGAAATGATTAGCGACTACGAGATAGACATAACATCACATTTTATCTCAGATCAGTTTTTAACCAAAACAGAAAATAACAAAAAAATAAGTATCACTTTCTGATAAATAATACAGTTCCATAAATTATTATAGTGAGCAAATGTGGTTGTTAAGATGTTGACAGCAAATTGTTACCGGTAAAAATGTTGTAAACGATTGTCGAAATTTTTAAAGGAAGCCGTTACTAAATTTGTTTTGTAGCGAAACATTCCTTAGCATCAGAGTATAGTAGATACTTTAAAATATCGTTTTACGTTAATAATAAACAACACTATAGATTTGATTATAAACATGAATCGCTTTGCTTAAAATGACGCAAAATAAAATAAAACATAAGCCCTCCTTTATAGTTAGTTCAGTTAGTGTGCAAAGTTTCATGATCTAATTTGAAGTATTTTTGAATACCAGCGGTTTATAGTTCGGTTTGGAGGTAACTTTGGATTTTTTTCTATCGAGTAAATTTTATGGAATCGTGTTTTCGTCTAACATAGTACTTAACATTAATCTTCAACTTTACCATATATTTATTTCAAAAAGAATGCGACAGTATTTTCGGCATAACAGAGGATCTAAGCCATTTGAGGTCGTATGCGCCCTTAAATTGGTAAGGATCCTCCGCAATGATAAACGCGAAAGAGAAATGAGAAAAATAGCGAATATCTAAGCGGATAAGCGGATATTTGTCAAAATTGATTTAAAAAAATAATGATTTATTATATTTACGCGAACACTACACGTTGATTCAAACTACTTTTACGGATTTTATCGCGTTTATTTATGTTATTTTTAATACCCGACGTGTCGTGACGTGACCATGGGTGCTGGAAAGCAACCAAAACGTCGGGTATTAAAAATAACATAAATAAACGTGATAAAATTCGTAAAAGTAGTTTGAATTAATATTTAAAAGAATGTTAAAAACAAAGGCGTTAAATTGAAATCTCGACATTCTTTTTTAAATACACACAATGGGAGTAGGACGAACAACATTTGTGTTCCTAAGTGACATTAATTAATATAATAATTAACTTAAAATAATTAAAAGCATTTTTATAAGTTTTTTAAAAGTTTCAAGTGTGTTAAAAATAATAAAGGTTCAACAGTTTCAAAAAAAAAAGACAATTCAGACAATTCACAGTTTGCAGGATGGAACATAATAATATATAATATACCTGCAACGTGTCGCTCTACATTGTCTCCCCGAGCATATTGAAACAATAACAATAAAATTTCTGAAGTGGTACCTTCGCACATTTGGCGCACTTGTGCCGATTTCATAACTTGTTTCGAGTAGACGATTCCTAAATTTATCTTTGATCCAATGTCGGCCACCCTAACGTATGCTTAATTTCCCCCCCATTAATGTAATTCTTGTGTTGTGTTCATACCATCATCCAATCATCCAATGAAAACTATTTCGTAAACATCTGCAGAATCCAAGTTTATATAGTATGTAATCACAAACGACAATGTTTATCTATTTTCTAATTTTCAAGTAACTTTAACATAAAGCGGCTTAACTCAACTCGCAAATGAATTGCGGCCATAAACATCTGCACCTGTGTCAAGACAATTGTTTCTATTTGACGATTGTATTTTACGTACAATAGCATTGCAAAAGAAATAACTGATTTTGTAAATTACTTGCGACATTAAGGTCTTTTTTCGTTTGCACTATAAAAGTAATTTATACAGTCATTGAGTACGAGTACAATCCAACTAGATACGGCATTCCATTAAGTTATGATAACGTAGTATATTGCATGCAAACGATCTATGGACTTGTACATATTGATTGCGATTCGAACGAGGTGATGTTTGTGGGCGCGGCGCTTGAGGGCTGCTAACTCCGTTCGGTGGCTGTAGTTTGTGGAGCATGGCTCAGCTAATAAAACGGTTAGTCCCAAGCCAAGCAGCGACGACGATGCAAACCGGTACGCGGACCGGTCCCTCACTCCCCGCACGCCGCCACTTCCCTCCCGCCCCGAACTCAAACACAACATCCCAGCACGCTACTAAAATACACGCGTCCACATCACCTATTCAAGAGAGCTACTACGACTAAGCTTGTTCGTCCGCTTTCCTATTTCGCGGCTCACTTGGACCAGGGAAGATGGTATCCAATTCTAGATGGGTTTGCAACATAATACAGGAGTTGTGGTCTGACAAACCGCATTTTAGATTAAATGTAATCATTCCACAACAAACAGCTTCTTCGTAAAACGTGATCTACGGACAATGTTACGCTGCGTACCAAAATTCGCAACGCTAGATTTAGGAGCGTCATTGTGATGCAACCGAGTCTAATATGAGATGCTTATGGGTTGAAAAATAAACCTAATGTAGCGTGAAAACAATTGGCGAAAGTCTGGTGTAATAAGCAAGTCAATAGGCGAGCGTAGTGACAAAGGCGTAGATTAGAAAGTGTGTTGTGTTGTATTTCAGAAAGGCCGTGATACGAAGCGAGCATACGCTCTGATTGGCGCCCTATCTGCAGATCTGTCGCAGCCGCGCGCTACGCTACGTGACCGTGCCCGTAGAGTTATTTATAAACGCTCATAATTTACAGTTTTGGCACAGCTACTACAATATTGGACTAACACCGACAAACAATTATTCTCGTCTTTTAGAATAAGGTCTGAGTAAAAAGAGCGTTCGACGAGACGGGCGGCGTAACGGCACGTGCGTCCTATAACTCGAGCCGAACGCTCCACGCTGCTACACGCTCGAACAAAACATTCAGTTTCTACATTTAAATTTAGACAATTTAATTTCTAACATGTTGTATTGATTATTTTTAAAACTTATGCGTTCTTACCCACACAGAACAAAAAAGTTTTAAATTTTTTATTATTTACAAATCCTTAAATAAATAAGTCGTAGAAAAATAAGTAACAATAGTTAAAACAAAATGTCTCAAATATGTGAGCCAATTATGTTTCATTTTAATCTTTCAGCCGATTTATATAACACCAGGGTTCACCGTGTTAAAGTGCCTTACGGAAATAATAAGATTAGGAGTAGGAGGTCAGGCGATGACCTTGGGCGTAAGTGGGTCGATCGTGAGATGGGCTATCGGGTGGAAGACGTCACGCTCCAGACCACCGAGCGCGCCAGTAGTTATGACCATCATTCATCCTATCCTGCTTGTTGTGGATATACCTTACTATTTTTACTTTTTACTTAGTTCTCAATCTTAAGCATCCATAAAATAGCTTTTTAATAGTTTTGCATTAAGCAATAACTGTAATATATTTAAAAATATAGATAGGCACCAAATATCTAATTAAAAATAAAAATATATAAAATATAATTAAATGGATCTACGTTGTAGCAACATTCTTGGGTGGAAATTCCAAAAAGGTAAAAGAATACGGAACCGAATCGAAAATTCATCGGTAGATGTCAGTAACAGCCGAATATTGGTTGAACTTACCGTACTTCAGACATCTATACTTACTAATTTTAGTACAGTTAATTATGGTGTCGTTGAATTATTCTTTCAGTGCTTTCAGGAAAGTATGTGAGATATACATTGACTCACGTAGTCTTTTATACAATATTAAAAATTCATGTTGTAACCGAGAATCTTAATGGCTATGCGAGATACTCGTATGAAGGTAGCAAAAGAGATGTGTCCAGCACGCTTGCGCAATGTACATAAGAGGTAAAAATGACACTATTTAATGTGTTTGTCAGTCTCTCTACACTTTCGGGTAGTGGGTAATCAAACGCAGAGGGCACTCAATGAATTTTATATTCAATACATATTAAAATAATGCCTTTAGGACGCTGTAAGAACTTCCGCGGATTCGTAAGGAATCAGGTACGTTTTCAAGTATTTTGGTGGCCCATATAGCTTTTATGCTTATCATATCCAAGAGGTATCCATAGAGTCAAGGGAAGCACCAATCTTTTCCAATAATGTAAGGAATTGATTGCATACACACATGTATTTAACTGACGCCGTAAGATGGAG